TAAAGCCAATTTATAATATTTCTTCTAATTTTTATCTTTTTTTCATGGTATCAATACTTTTTATCATCTCTAATGATGCTCTCCAATTAATTATTTTTCATAATTCGTATTCAAAATCGTATATCGTATTAAATTTGATTTCTGTCACATACGCATACATATAGGCATATATACATAAGTATAGGTAACTCGTATACGTACACTCATATATTTGATTTTCTTTATRTTGTACTAACGTAATTTTAATTTTTACTTTTTTTAGTTTTCCGAGCGTCGGGAGAATCCAATACGAATACATATACTCAATCTAARAATCGTGYTTCCTTTTATATAGRGGTARTGACTAAATTATCGAGGTAAGTCTATCTCTTTATTTTAAAGCAATAAGAAGTGTAGTAGAAMAAGTGTGAGATAGAAAGAGAAAACGAGAAAGAAAGAAAAAGAATACAAACATTCGACTTCTAGGTAGTTAAATGTGTTTATATATTTCTAGGAAATTCTCGAGATGAAAATAAAAAAGAAACAGTGGAAAACAAAAGAAAAACAGCCGAGCACCGAGCACTGAGCATCGAGAACCCGAGTACCCCCGAACACCGAGTATCCGAGTACCCCCGAACACCGAGTATCCGAGTACCCCCGAACACCGAGTATCCGAGTACCCCCGAGTACCGAGCGCCGAACGTTCGACACTTTCAAGGATAAATAGGAACGATGTATCTCTTTCCCCTTCCGTCCTTCGATAAGTAAAGACTGGCAACAGTAACTAGACATTAAATTATTTAATAATTTTATTTCTAACCTTATCTTTTTGATTTTAATAGTTTAACAAGTTTTTCATTGCATAGAATGGTATAAAAACTGGTTTATTTTTTATGTTACTCTTTATTGAGTTTGCGGATGCAATTATTGTTTTATTTAGACAACTTTGAAGATTTTTAATGAATATTTTAACTAACATTACATACTTGATACGTCATTTAATCCAAGCAAAAATAGTTGCATTCTTTGATCAATTCTATAAATATTTAATAACTTTAACTTTTAATTATGTCAATTCTCATAGATAATTAAATTATTTCTTTTTATTGACCATTGAATATTTTTGATAAAATATTCAATGGTTTTAACGTGTGTCCTGCCTTCACAAATGATTTACAGGAAATATTGTAATATAATCTTTAGTATGTTTCAGCTTTTCAGACTTTTTATTTAATTTTATTTTATACATCGTCATCCTAAGGGTAGGATACCCATCCTGCAGTCATCAATCAAGATTAAAAGTTAGTATATTTTACTATCATATATTTCTATTATAATTTCAATGGATTTTTATTACGACGATGACATTAATTGTTCTTTTTCTTTTTCTATTTCAGATCATTGCAATCGTGCGTGCAGGCAATGAAATACACGTGTGTTGTATCGCGTTAAAATAAAATATAAAAAAGTCGACAAGTAGATTCAGTGTTGATCGTCGCATGTTAAAGTTTCGTTTGCTYGGTTAAGAAACTCGCAAGTTTCTTTTATTCGGTTTAAAAGTGTGCTCATCGTCATCCTCAGGGTAGGATACCCATCGTGCATTCATCAACGAAGAAAAAACGTAAGTCAATTTTTCTATTAAACATTTTCTCAATAATTATAATAATTTTTATATAACAACGATTTATATAATCCTGTTTTTATTTGTGTTTCAGATCATAGTTGGAATAGTGTTCACATTTCATTCATTAAATTCATTTAGAAATTCGTTTAACACTAGATTTGCTCACTATTATTTTGTTCACTATTTTTTAAAAATTTACAAACATTGTTTAAATAAAAAAGTGGCTAGAGAAGAGGAATTAATATTTACGTATATTTTATTGCAGCATTCAAAATTAACATATATTTAAAAACAAATAATATTTCTATTATATATATGTAGCAAAAAAGTTTGAAAGAATCTAGTGTTAATTGAATTAACTACATGAAATGCAGTTTTATAGTCATTCTTTGTGAATTGTCATCGTCATCCTAAGGGTAGGAGACCCATCGTGCATTCATCGTGCGTTTATCAAAGTAAGTATATTTTTGTATTAAATAATTCATCAAAAATTTTAATGTGCTTTTCTGTAATAGTAATGATATTAATAGTATTGTTTTTTATTTCTATTTCAGATTGCAATCGTGCGCGAAGCAATATGTGTATCTCCACTTGTCGGTGTTTCAGACCGAATGTGAAGTGACCGAGAGTGAAATTTTGGTTCTTGCATTTGACTGCGTGCAATGCAGTCTTTGAATTAGTTGTAGAATCAGTGTTCGGGCGAGTAATAAGTAAAAATCAAACGCGAATTAGAGTCAGTGTTGTTCGTCGTATAATCAAATTTCGGTTTCGCGATAAGAAACTCATCTATAGTTTCTTATTTTCGTTTATACCGCGTTATTAGATTCACGCGAGGTGTGCATCACCATGATGCCATTGTGCTTCGTCCCATTGGAATGCATTGTAAGTATTCATTTTTATTTAAATTTTATTCGATTTTATTTCATATGATTTTTGATAATATTGCAGATAACTTATCGTTTTGTTCTATTTTGTTTTACAGATATAACCATGGATTCTCTTACTTTCAAAGATGTTGGATGAATTCTTCGATGGATCTTTGATGGATCTTCTTTAATGGAAAATCGAGTATCGTCTTTTATCGTCAGACTACAATACTTGCTGCTAAGTAGGAATGTTTTGGAATCATCGCAAAACTACTTACACCGTGAGTTTTTATTTAAAGTCCCTCCAGTGCTCAATCATGTCGAGGATGAAAGGTCCTAATCGGTACGAGTTACTGGTTGTAATTATTTAAATAAATTATTGACGAGCACATGAGTAATTCCTTTTTAGGAGTTACTCATGAAAATTATATATTTTATTGTAGGTTTTATTATTAGTTCAGGATAGGTTTTCTTGTCTCATAGGTTAAATTCATTTAATTAATAATGCAATTAATAAGTGTACTGTCTTTTTTATTACGTGTTTTGTTCGTGGCCAGTAGTGATAAAATCAAGCATTAATTTACTCGTTTTGATCCAGTAAAAAATGTAATAAATGTTTTACACTATGTTCTTCGTACATAGTTTATCTAATCGAGATTAATTTTGATATATCGATACTTTGATATTTTAAATAAATGAGCAAGAAGACAAACTCAGTTATACGATAAATGAATTTGTTAACTTTTATCTACTTTTTCATTCGTTGATAATGTATCCGATGTAAGTAATTATTTCATCGTTCGTTCATTATTTGTATAAGAATGTATCTTTGTTCATTCTTTAATAAAGGTTTGGTGTTACTGTCGGTAAATTATCATCAAATTCTAATACCATATTGGGATAATTAAACACACAAATTCCTTTAAAAATTTATTTAATTCTTATTTATATTGATAAATAATTATACGTAATAATTACTTTACAATTATGAAACTTCACGAGCTTTAGTAAAAAAAAATATTAATCGTAGAAGACAATGTAGATCCGAATTACCGACAGAACAATTTATCGTGAGAATTTTTTGATTAATATCTTATCAATGAAGCTATCCATATTTCATTCAATGGTAATTCATTCATAAAGGTTCACTGATTATTCTTTTATTGTTTCATTCATATACTGTATAGAAATCTTTTTGTATAAACAATTTTTTTTTATAGCATTTTTACATGACTGTCTCAATCGTGAAGTTATTAATGTAAAAGTTAAAAATGAATGTTTATTAATTTTCATAAAATAACTAAAAATTAAAGAAAATTATCAAATAATTGTTTTATAAGTTAAAATCTAGCTGAATCATTTTTTTGCATTTATAAATAATAGATTCATCTAATTTTATAAAATTGTTAGACTCGTGTTAAAAATATATATATATTTATTAATATACTAAAAATAGTTAATTTAAATAATATAGGATAAATTGGGTAATAAGAATAGAAATCAAATTTCACAAGAATCTTGGCAGATTTTATTTAGAACATAATTGACTGTTACATTTAACAGAGGAATAATAATTATGAATTTTTTCAATTAGCAAAGCATCGAATACACAACTAGAATAAAGTGTCCTTTTATTTTTTTTTACTTGCGATCTGCCGTGTAGATCAAAGTCGCAAATAATAATAATAATAATAATAATAATAATAATAATAATAATAATAATAATAATAATAATATGACTTTATCTTTCATTCTCCACGGATAAGCGCCACGACATGTACAAGTATTTTTCACATTTATCGAATTGAAATTTAATTTCTCACATAATAATTATATTATTATAATTAATATTTTATTTTTATTTTTATTTTTTAAATAGCGTTAGTTTCAAATCCGGTCTTTCTGCAGAATATTACAGGAATACTTATAAACATTTCTGACCAAAAAAAAAAAACAAAACAAAACAAAAAACAATTAAGAACTCTCGTGGAGTACGGCGTAGGAGGAGTACGTAAAGATCAGTCGTGAAATATTATTATAATTATTTTTTCTGTTTTTTTTTCTTCTCTTGTTTTGTTTGTTTAAACTTTTCTTTTCTTTTTTTTTTCTCTCTCTTTTCGTATTTTTTTAAATGTATATCGCATAAACGTGTACAAGTACATAAATACGTTATACACGTAAATACGTATGAATAATGTATACGTGTTTTATGTGTGTTACGTGTAATATGTTTGCTTCCTTTTCTGCCATAATCGAAAGAAAGACGGTAGAAACTTTGCGCTTCTTAATTTAACTTTTTTTTTTTTTAGAGTTCTATCGTTAATCCCGCAATGTCCGATCTTTGGTACTCGTCTCAATGGACGCACGATCGACGTTCTTTTCGCACAGTCGAATCTAAGATTTGTCTTTTTCTTTTTCTTTTTATTTTCTTCATTTTGTTCTCGTTTTAAACATAAATGAATAATACATTTTGTTACTTAGATAGGACAATTTGCGAAAAGAATGCGGCTTTCGTTTCGGTACCGCTATACATAGGAAACGTTACGAGTGGCCTATGCGTAATGTTTTAATGGCTTCCTCGCTCCTTTACAATATAATTTCGCTATTAACGTTAATACTTCGTGCTGCTAGAGATTAGCCTTAGATTCATAGTGCACTTTCTCCGCTATTTAAAATCTATCGGAGCGACATAACTTATATCGTTATGTTCGCGAGCACACATCATCGCACGATACGAATCCTTCCATCTGATGCTCGACTAATCTCTCAGAGGGATCGTTTAAAATAAATGCTTTAATAGTACTACGACGATTTAGAAAATTACATGTAAACGTTTTAGAATCGATTTGTGTAAATCGCGTACATATACAATTATATATACGTATATATGTATATACTTTTTTTTATATTACTTATATTGTAAATTAGATAAATATATATAGTATATTAAAATCTCTATCAACGTTTAAAGAATTAATTTAACTTAGCGTGAATCTTATAATATTTTGTTATATTTATCATTTTGCAAAATATTACCAATCCATCAATCACAATTTTGGTAAATAATATTAATTTTATACTACTTCCTATTATTCAAATAATAAAATAAAATCACAGCATATATATATATATATATATATATATATATATATATATATAATAAATGATATTTAAATTTAGTAATTTTTGTAAACAAAATTATATTCAATTTGTGATCATTAAGGGTTGATAGAAGGTTTTTCTGTATAACTTGATTTTCATTTAGTTACGTTCAAAGAATAAACAATGCTGGATGAAATGATCGTTGTTCGTTAATTAATGATAAATGAAAGTTTGTAAAAAGAAAGAAGCAAAAGGATGGGTGCCAACATTTTTACGATGAAAAGCTTTGTTCTCGTTCGACCCTCATGAGAGATCTTTTTCAAAGCGAGCTTTACTAACACACATCACCACCGATGGTGGACGGATCGTACGTTCGCAATATCTCTCTGCACTCAAGCCATACATACTTAAACGTGTCCTAGACTAGTTTACAATGGATTCGATTTACTTCACACACTGCAAAAGCTGTTGGAATTACGCTGAAGTTTATAAACATACTAATCTTTTTGATCAACTGTCCCCCACATAAGTGATCCCACGCAGGCGATGAATAAAAATAATTTGTTTGTCGATTTTTTCTTTCTTTTTCTTTTTTTTTTTATCATCGTTGAGAACAAGGGATTACGGTTGTATCTTTTTTACTTTTCTTTTCATTCTTTTTTTTTTTTCTTGTTTTCCTTTTTTTCTCTCTATCTCTCTCTCTTTTTTATTTTTTTTTTATAAAGTAATCCGAATTTAATTCAAACTGGGAATAGGAGGCGTATGGAGGAGCATTTCCTAACAACGTTTAGAAAAATTTTACAAAACATACAAAGAGATAGATGCAACGTCAATGTAAATATCAACCGACGTTGGATCGTACAAAGGTCAACACATACATATGTATAGTAACATCTAAGTATAACATAACGTTTGATTACATAATGCAAATTGAGACGTTTTACAAATTAACATACAAATCTATCTCTCGTATGCGATTAAACGATGCATTTATCGTCGACGATATTAGGAACGAAAATTTTGGACGTTATTTATTCTACGTATTATCTAATTCGTTCGTTCGTTCTTTCTTTCTTTCTTTCTTTCTTTCTTTTTCTCGTTCATTCGCACCCAAATACATATATGTATACATATATAATTATATACATATATAAAAAAAAGATAAATAATATTTTAGATGTGTGACAAATCGTCGCGAGTGATGCGGGAC